AAACGCCAAGGAAAATCAATTTTTTCTTCAAGTCAGGGGCATACCTCAGATCATTGAGTTTTCGTATAACCTTGTCAAACATCTTGATTTGTATTGAGCCGATTCCCGTCATATTGCAAGTACTATCATTGCCCATATAGACAACTCCACCATTGAACTCTTTGAAGTCCAAAAACATCTCTCTGTTGGAATACATATGATAGGAGCACCCAAAATCAAGAATCCATTCACTAGTTTGGCTGACTGAGAGATCGTCAAGGCATTATCTGTATCAGTGTCGTCATCTCTAACCACATTGGACTTCGACCCCTTCTCTTTTAAGATCGGGTAATCTTTCTTCCAATGGCCTTTCTGTCGACAATATGCACACTCATTTTTATCAAGTTTTCTCCAATTACCATATCTACCTCTTGACTTTGATAGGGACTCTCCACATTCGCTCCTTTTCCAAGTAGAAGTCATTTCACGAGCAGTGAGAACATTTGAGCTAGAATCTTGATATGCCTCCTTTTCCTTCTTTCGCACCTCATTATTCATCAAGGCATTTGAAACATCTTCAAAATCAATATCATAGGCTCCATGCAGTAGAGTGGTTACTAAAAACTCGTAGGACTCCAGCAAAGAATTTAATAATAACGTCGTCTTGTCTTTATCATCAATCTTAACATCAAGATTGAGCAAATTAGTGATGATTTTGTTAAAATCATCCAAATGCTCAGCTATTGAAATACCTATTCTTATAGTCAAAACGGAAGGGTTTCTTCTTCAAATAGAGTTTGTTTTCCACACTCTTCTGCATATATTTCCCTCAAGCTTGTCTCATAGTTCTTTCGTCATGGTCACCTTCATAAATGGATATTTCTGATCCTTGCCAAGACAGGATCGAATAATTCCACAAGCTTGCCAATTTAATTTCGTCCATTTTGCTTTTGTCATGTCTTCAGGCATCACCTCTTGGAGAGAAGCATCAAGATCTTGCATGCCCAGCTAATCGCTAACTTCGCCTTGCCAAACACCAAAATTATTGGTTCCATCAAATTTCTCTACTTCGAGATGAGAACTCAAAAATCTTGATCCACGCCGTGATTTAATTCCAGATGATTCTGCCATTTTCAAGAAAATAAGCACGATTTTGAGCACGTCTAGTGGTCGATGAGGCCAAAACTTTCACAATACCCCAAATACCACAATCAAGCTCTGATACCACTTGTGCGCCGAAAGCGGAACAAATGTACTCACAACACCAATGAACGGAATTACACAAAGAGACACTAAAATATTTACGTGGTTCGGAGAGAAGAAGTTCAACTACATCCACGGGTAGCAACCAATCACTAATAAACAAAGTGTTACAAGTGAATACCTCACTATCACACTACAAAGACTCACCAATATGTCACTCAACAAATACGATGTGACCCTCAAAACTCTCCCAAATCCCGATATCAAATTCCGATATCAAATCTCGATATATCACTAAACCCTGGTATGACTAAATCTAATTCAAATAATCTAATCCAAATAATCAAATCAAAACTTTTACAATTTACAATAATCTTCTCCTTGTCATAAGATCTCCAAGTTGATAACTAATTGGTTGCTACCTCCTCAAGCCTCAATACTTACGTTGGGAACTCCATCAATCATGAGAAAGCATATGCTATCGTATCATCAAACCTTGCAGGTTTTCGAATTACCCTTCGTGGTCTATTCTTGTCGATAGACTCATGTTCCTCCACTCTTTCATTTACGAGGCTTTGCTTCTCCTATTCTAATACATCAGAGTTATTATCTACCTGATCAATAAGTTCTTCAGTAGGAGCAACCATATCAGGAGAGAACACCACCTTCTCCACCTGTTTCAATGCCTCGTCATTATTTTCAATTTTTTGCAAAAACATTCCAGACTCATCGAATGTCACATCTCGACTATTAACAATCTCACTTGTTTCTGGCACCATAACCTATAACCCTTTACACCTTTGCTAAAGCCCATAAACTTGGCTTTTTTTGCTATAGGATCCAGCTTTGAGTCTGTCACATGATAATAAGTAGGACACCCAAACACATGCAATTTATCATAATCACTAACAGGAGTACCCGACCATACCTCAAGCGGAATTTTTCCACCATTTTCAGAAACAGGTAAACGATTCACCAAGTGAACTGCATAACTGAGGGCCTCAGCCCAAAAAGCCTTACTCAATCCTGCTTGAGACAATATGCATCGAACATTCTCTATTAATGTCTGGTTCATTCTCTCAGCAACTCCATTTTGTTGTGGCTTACCAGGAACAGTGAAGTGTCGAATGATCCCTTCATCTCGACATACTTTAAGGAATGGATCATAAGGATATTCTCCACCGTTGTCTGATCTCAGCCTTTTGATTTTCCTGTTCGTCTGATTCTCTACCATTTTCTTCCACTCTTGGAAGATTTGGAGAACCTCGTTTTTGTGCCTCATAGGATACATCCAAACTCTCCTCGAGTAGTCATCGATAAAGGTGACAAACCACCTCTTTCCTCCCAATGAGACATTCTTCGTGGGGCCCCATACATCAGTGTGAACATAATCCAAAATGCCTTTTGTTTGATGTATAGCTGTACAAAACTTCACATTTTTTTGTTTACCAAATATATAATGTTCACCGAAATCAATTTTACCTATTGTGGCACCCTTAAGAACTCCTTGGTTCACCAATGTCTGAAGTGCCTTATCACCAGCATGCCCAAGTCTCATGTGCCATAATTTTGATATGTTTTGTTCTTTCGAACTTGCCATAGTAGCATGCTCAATTATTGTGGTTCCGTTGAGGTAGTATATGCTACCTCTTCTAGTTCCTTTAATTGCCACCAAAGCTCCACGAGCTACCTTCAAATTCCCTCCTTCCAAAATGATGCGATAACCACTCGCATCCAAAACGCCAAGGAAAATCAATTTTTTCTTCAAATCAGGGGCATACCTCAGATCATTGAGTTTTCGTATAACCTCGTCAAACATCTTGATTTGTATTGAGCCGATTCCCGTCATATTGCAAGTATTATCATTGCCCATATAGACAACTCCACCATTGAACTCTTTGAAGTCCAAAAACATCTCTCTGTTGGAATACATATGATAGGAGCACCCAAAATCAAGAATCCATTCACTAGTTTGGCTGACTGAGAGATCGTCAAGGCATTATCTGTATCAGTGTCGTCATCTCTAACCACATTGGACTTCGACCCCTTCTCTTTTAAGATCGGGTAATCTTTCTTCCAATGGCCTTTCTGTCGACAATATGCACACTCATTTTTATCAAGTTTTCTCCAATTACCATATCTACCTCTTGACTTTGATAGGGACTCTCCACATTCGCTCCTTTTCCAAGTAGAAGTCATTTCACGAGCAGTGAGAACATTTGAGCTAGAATCTTGATATGCCTCCTTTTCCTTCTTTCGCACCTCATTATTCATCAAGGCATTTGAAACATCTTCAAAATCAATATCATAGGCTCCATGCAGTAGAGTGGTTACTAAAAACTCGTAGGACTCCAACAAAGAATTTAATAATAACGTCGTCTTGTCTTTATCATCAATCTTAACATCAAGATTGAGCAAATTAGTGATGATTTTGTTAAAATCATCCAAATGCTCAGCCATTGAAATACCTATTCTTATAGTCAAAACGGAAGAGTTTCTTCTTCAAATAGAGTTTATTTTCCACACTCTTCTGCATATATTTCCCTCAAGCTTGTCTCATAGTTCTTTCGCCATGGTCACCTTCATAAATGGATATTTCTGATCCTTGCCAAGACAGGATCGAATAATTCCACAAGCTTGCCAATTTAATTTCGTCCATTTTGCTTCTGTCATGTCTTCAGGCATCACCTCTTGGAGAGAAGCATCAAGATCTTGCATGCCCAGCAAATCGCTAACTTTGCCTCCCCAAACACCAAAATTATTGGTTCCATCAAATTTCTCTACTTCGAGATGAGAACTCAAAAATCTTGATCCACGCCGTGATTTAATTTCAGATGATTCTGCCATTTTCAAGAAAATAAGCACGATTTTGAGCACGTCTAGTGGTTGATGAGGCCAAAACTTTCACAATACCCCAAATACCATAATCAAGCTCTGATACCACTTGTGCGCCGAAAGCGGAACAAATGTACTCACAACACCAATGAACGGAATTACACAAGGAGACACTAAGATATTTACATGGTTCGGAGAGAAGAAGTTCCCCTATATCCACGGGTAGCAACCAATCACTAATAAACAAAGTGTTACAAGTGAATACCTCACTATCACAATACAAATACTCTCACCAATATGTCACTCAACAAATACGATGTGACCCTCAAAACTCTCCCAAATCTCGATATCAAATTCGGATATCAAATCTCCATATATAACTAAACTGTAAACTAGTATAACTAAATCTAATTTAAATAACCAAATCAAATCTAATCCACAAACCAAATCAAACTAATCCAAATAACCAAATAAAATTAAAACTTATACAATTTACAACAATCTTCATGTCACAAGATCTCCAAATCAAATCAAAACTTATGACAATTTACCATACACATTTCAAAGACAATAAGAAAAGGCAACAAGAAATATCAATAATTGAGGGATATCTAGTGCAAAACTCCACATTTAACTCAAAAAATAAGCATATAATCTATGAGGGATTTTAGATATTGTTAGTGATAATGGAGAGAGATTTTTTGTCTTAAGAACTTCCTCATCATCTAATCATTCCATCATTTGATCCCGTAAAGATGTTGTGAAAGAAAATACGAATATTTTGAATATGTTGCCTTTAGTGATAAATTTGAAGAGCTTAATAATGTAATCTTGATTTTTCAATATCCACATACAATCAAATTGAATCAGAATCTTGTTTTTTTAATCTTTATTTGGTTGATGAACAGTGCGTTAATAATAGTAATTAAAAATTTGTGGAAGCTTTCCTTTTTCTACTCAGCTTTGAAATCTTTTGGAAGAAAATTAAAAATTTTAGTATCTTCATTATAATCGAGAATATTGAATACACCGTAAAAACTAAATATGGAAACAAACATATATCACACGTAGTAAATTAGTCAGAGACTATGATTTGTGTGTAGGGATCGTCTTCACTCGGCCATCTCTTTTATTTGATACTAATATTCTCTTTGTTTCCCTGCAAGAAAATAATAGGATTCGATGAATACCAATGCTAAGATGATCAATTTTCTTGAACATTATTAGAAAAATAGTTATATCAAAGAGAATTGCATTTAAGAAATATACCTCAATGGAATAGTAAAATGTTCGTGCATCTAATAGTATTGAGGAGGAGGTGGAGACTTGTACTCGTAGTCCTTCTTAGGTGGTGGAGGAGACTTGTAAACGGGTGGGGGAGGAGAGTAGTATACAGGTGGAGGTGGTGATTTGTACACCTTTGGTGGAGGTGGAGAATAATAAACGGGAGGAGGTGGAGAGTGATAAACAGGTGGGGGAGGAGAATGGTAAATTGGAGGAGGCGGTGACTTATAAACTGGTGGTGGAGGAGAGTAATAAACTGGAGGTGGTGGTGAGTGATAAACGGGTGGGGGAGGAGAATGGTAAACTGGAGGAGGCGGTGACTTGTAAACTGGTGGAGGAGGAGAGTAATAAACTGGAGGAGGCGGTGACTTGTAAACTGGTGGAGGAGGAGAGTAGTAAACTGGAGGTGGTGGTGATTTGTAAACTTGTGGAGGAGGAGAATGGTAGACTGGAGGTGGCGGTGACTTGTAAATTGGTGGCGGAGGGGAGTGATAAACAGGTGGAGGAGGAGAATGGTAAACTAGAGGTGGCGGTGACTTGTAAATCGGTGGTGGAGGAGAGTGATAAACTGGAGGTGGTGGAGAGTGGTAGACTGGAGGTGGTGGAGAGTGGTAGACTGGAGGTGGCGGTGACTTGTAAACCGGTGGTGGAGGAGAGTAATAAACTGGAGGTGGTGGCGATTTATACTCTTTCTTTGGTGGTGGAGAATAATAAACAGGAGGAGGGGACGAGTGATAGACAGGTGGGGGAGGAGAGTGGTAAACAGGAGGCGGTGGAGAGTGATAAACCGGAGGCGGAGGAGAGTAATAAACTGGAGGAGGTGGCGATTTGTACTCATATTTTACCTTCGGTGGCGGGGGTGAATGATAAACCGGCGGAGGAGGAGATTTATACACATAGTAAGGAGGCGGTGGAGAAGAGTAGCTATAATCAATAGCGATCACCGACGTAAAACTCAAAAGTGCCACCAAAACAGTAGCTACGAGATATGCCATCGAACACTTGGATTCTCCCATATCCTTGTATCTCTCAATGGTTTCTTGGTTTTGCTTCCAAACATGCATCTCCACCCTTTATATAGTTTCCATTCATTTCTCCTTCAAGGCCATCAAATCATGGTCAAGAAATTTAAGTATTAAATTGTTCATTGTTCTACCTAATCTTCGTGGAAATATAATGCAATATGTTTGACAAATGAGACCGGCCTGCTTCGTATTCAAATTTGGATTAGATTATAAAATTGTATAAATTTGTAACAACTCGTTCTTCGTTCTTCGTTCTTCGGTTGAATACTTCTTCGTGTAACAATGGCGACATATTTTTTATATTTTATGTCGAAGGATAGTTGCATATATACAATTTCAAATAAAATTATTTGAAAAAAAATTCGAGTTTATCATTTCTGAAAATAATAATTTCAATTTTTATCTCGTCATTATTCTATCATCAATGATTTAACTTCAGACACGTTCATAAACATGCTTGCATAATTTTAAGTACGTACTCAAATCACATCAACTAAGAAATGAATCAATAAACCAAACTTCACATTTTCAATTTTGTACCGATCTAGGATAATGAATTTGGAATTTTGGAAATGACTGATTCCAATGAGACCAAATAGTGACCGACGCCTTTTGATGATGAATTAGATTATAATATTTCTTGAGAATCAATCGCAAGAGGCGTGGATCCTCATGTAAAGTTGATGAAATTTTTACCAACCCTATTATATTTTTAAAGTGATAAAAAAATATCATATTCTTACGTTAGGTAATATGTGGATTAAAATAATGTGTTGTTGAATTGAACGTGTAATTTGTGTATGGTCATGTCTGATTGATTATGACTTTGTATGAATATACGAAAATACGAGAAATCATATATTAGAATTGTTTGTAAAGTATAATAGAAAGACCATAGTTATGAATTCACGTCTCGAGAAAAGTTATAGTTGCATAGTATCGCTGAACTGATGATTTAAATTGTGAGACATTATGCATGATGCATGCTCGTGTAGTAATATATTAGTTCTCTAATTATGTATTGTATGGACTCATACACTCAATATTATTCATGTTCTTTTAACTTTTAGGTCTGTTTTAACGTCATGAGTATACGCTACCCCATAGTTAGACCTTAGGGGTACGTTAATGAGCTCTCCTAGTAGGTCCATGTACACATGTGCAAAACCATCCTATAAATATAAGTAAGTCTAAATTCAGTCACGAATTTAAGTCACATGGACCTACTAGGAGAGCTCGTTAACATGCAGTATGATGTTAGTCACACATCAAGATCGCCAACCAAACTTTTGGCTCACAACTGGCCCCTACATACGGTTAGATTGACTAGGGAGCTAGTTGACTGTGAGCTCGCCCTTTTTCGAGCTTTTTTCTCTAAATCTTTTTCGAGCTAGTTAACAGGTGACTTTTTGCCGTCGGTGCCAACTATTTTAAAAGTTGAAAAAGTAATTAAAAAATAATAATAATTATGGAGGGAGCCAGCTAGAATTTATAAATGTGAATTATTAAAAAAAATATTTGATTATTAAACATCACGTTATATTTGAAAAGTTCTTAGTAAAAAAAAAGGTTAAATATATATTAAAAAAAAGTAAAATCTAACATGAAAATACCAAGTTGATGATTGAGAGAGAAAATATAAAATTGTAAATAATAAAAAAAAAAAATTAAAATATAGATTTTATTATATGGTCAAATGAATAAAATATAAAGGAGATTATATTAATTATATTATGGTATGTGATAAATTAATGGATGAATTGGATGACGGTCATGATAGAGAAGGAATTTGGATTATTTGGTTAAATAAAATAGTCATTTTGGTAGAAAATTCCATGCAAAAGAAAAAAAAAATTTTTAAACAAAGTTTAAAACATCTTATTATCCAATTAATCTCACCAAAAAGTCTCGATTCGATGCTGGACAGTGTTTGAAGTTTGATCTTGTAAATTTAATGTCGAATGAAATGGGTACTCGAGATTGGAGTTAGCTATGTCATGGATGATGTCAAATAGTGTCGAAATGAAAGTCGTCAGAATTGGAGAGGAAACTAGTCGTGGCGTACATGCATGTGAGGGAGAATCAATGCTGGTACTTATCGAATTTGGAGTTTCGATGTTATTTGAACGTTAGAGTGTAAATGGCTTCTGTTAGCACTATACCAATGAGTATTTCTTTTATTTTACTAACATTATTTGAATCTTATCATCATAATTTAAAATGGAAAATTTAAAGGCAAACATCATCCAACGTGGGATGAACAAAAAAAAAAAAAAAAAAAAAAAAAAAAAAAAAAAAAAAAAAAAAAAAAAAAAAAAAAAAAAAAAA